GGAGTGGGAAGAGGCAATGTGAAGAAAAGGAAGTTTTCATCTGTTTATCTGTTATACACACACTAAAAGGACTTATGCAAGCCACCTAGACATACCATTTTTGAGTTTTTCTTAGAAACTGACTATCTTGTGTGGTTTCATTTTTCCTGTCCAACACTACAGACACGTTGTCCTAAGACTGCCACTTCTGGACACCAGAGGGGGTGTTTTCTTCATTTAAATAAAGGGGGTCGGGTGCAAAAGTTCCTTCCTATTGAACTGACCAGCTTCTCCCTTTAGGGTTTTGGGAGGGAAGGTGGCCGCTCCTGTATGAGAGGTGTTCTGCAGTGTGGAAATGAAAACGATATGACTCCACAGAGCATTTTGTTTATCTTCAAAATGTGGGGAAAAATGGAAAGGTCAGTTTATAGATCATATTTTAATGATTTATCGTTAAATTGCTTTGGCCCATTGTTTCATACAACTTTTTTGAAATTATCCTTATAACTGATGAGAAAGTGAATTATATTCATCTGGTAGTACAAGTCTGGTTTTGCTCACAGCAGAGTAGATTTATATTGTGAAACAATTTGGTCTTTATATCTGGGACTATACGTTTGGAAGACGGTTGCTTTCCTGGCTGCTTTTGAAATAGTTTTCGTTCAGGTAGTGACAATGGATTCAAAAATTCTAGATCATAATTTTGTACATTTCACATAGTATAGCTTCTCATGTGAATTTATTCTTTGAGGAAATTGGGTATAGATCTGGGTGAGTCATCATGCCACCATTTTCTTAGGATTGGTCTTAAAGTAGAAAGTATTTCATGGATCCTGGTCAAAAATTAACTATTCATAAAATACGTACTGAAGTTCTCTTTGCACATTAGTATTTTTTTCTAAAAAAAGTACTAAGACCTGGTTTAAAAAGGTCTAATGAGGAATAAGAGATGAAATATGAATGAAAGACTTTTGGGAGGTTATTTGTAGTTTTCTCTGAGAAAACTAATGAATGTAGTAGAGAGTTTGAAGATGGTCAATTTATCTCTAAAACTGGTCATTTTGGTAGGTAGAATACTGTGCATATGAATAGTGATAGGAATAGCTTTTAAATTTCATATAGCGAAAGGCAAATTACACAGACTTCTCTGTTAAAATGCTTTGCTGAGCTTACCCTATGTGGACTATGCAGTTCTTTTCTTCACTTGATTCATCTTTTCAGGCTCACTATGGTCAGGGGAGCTGCTAATTTTTGGTTGGAACTGATTTATTGTCCAAATGCTTTAGTGTTTATAGAACAGATTATATTGGGGACAAGTTTTTATATCATTCTGTCGAAAACAATCCATTGTTTTTGGATCTCTGTATAATCCAAATATTGCTTGCTTATAAACTCTAGGAGGTCCTTTAAGGAGTAACTTCTTATCCAGATGGCTGGTATTTTGGGGTATAAGAGAAAGAAAGTAGGTATTTGCATTATTATATATATTATTATATATAATATTATTATACATTTGTCTGTATTTGTACATCCTCCTATACCCAGAGGCAGCTCTGCATGTATTTCTTTAAAGCAGGGATTTCCAGAATGTTGATCACTGTTGAATAGTATGTTGTAGGTGGACCCTAGCCCAGGCTTCTGGACTGCAGGATTAGGCAATATTCCCTTCCCTGGGCTTCATATTTCTAGCTGAAATTGTCTGTGTGCCTCAGAGGGATAGAGAAAACACCTAAGGCCTGCCAGTCTTTTAAATGCTTAGTGGTCATGGAGATGGTGTGGCTTGCTGCTGGCATATTGGGAAGGGCTGATACATTCTCCTTTGTCTCACCAAACTTATAGCAAGTTTGCTTGTGGGATTTCTCTATGATCAGATGCTTAACCACACCCTGTTCCCTACCCTACTTTATTTAGTTATTTGGTTTTTATTGGAAAAAAGGAGGGGCATCTGCTTTAAGGTCATTTCTGTTTATTTGGGAGGTTAAAAATTATTTAAATAAATGAGCATCTCCATTTTCCTGCAAACTTTTTGTTTTGCAGACATTTTTTCATAAACAAAGTGGTCCCTTGTTCCTTCCTCCCCTCCCCACCCCTCCCCTATAGGGCTGACCACATTGGAAAGACAGCTTGATGCATTTAGCTCATGCATACTTAAGTGTTCATTAACTATAATGTAGCTGGTGAGTCTAATTTTAGCCCTGCCACCCTTGGAAGTCTCATTTTTCTCTTCCATTGATAATTTTATTTGCTATAATGGGAGGGTATGTTTTTATGTATGTGAAGTAGAAGATTTACCTTTTTTCCTTTGTACTAGTACTTACATGTTTTCATTGCATGAAATTTGAGTTTTGAATTTAGATGCTCTTTTTCCTTTTTTTTAAACTTTGTATCATTGATTATTTCAAAGACCCTATTTTGCCTGTGTGTTTAGCAGTATTTCCAGTGGTGCTTCAGTATTTCTGTGTATTCCAGCTGTTTATGGAGTCTTTATGTTTCTCTGCATTTTTTTGTTTTATTTTTTGAGGTGTACACACACAGTTACACTTCATGGAGTTGCATCCAGCCAAGTATCCATGTTCTTCTTGTGAAGAGGCAGAGAAAATCACCTCTCCCAAGAATTTCTACCTTCTGAACAAGGGAAATGTGTCCTGAAGAGCTGTACACAGATGGGAGGCAACTTGTTTGCTTGTTCTGCTGCTAGAGCATTGATTTAATTAGAAGACAGGCTGTGGGTGGCCATGTGCAGACAAAGAAGCACCAGACAGACCCCAGTTAGCCTGGGACAGTAAAAGTAAGTTACGCTCTTTTTAAAACACTTTTTTGAGTACTGATGCTGATTCTTGCCTTTCATACTAAGGGGCAAACTGTAACTTACTGTTTGTGTTCACACATGAGGTACATCTAAGACCCTAGAAATAAAACATGCTCTCTAGCACAAGGTAGTTGCTTACTGGAAAAGCAGTGATTCTTTTTTACTTGTTTTTTTTTTTTTTTGAGACAGAGTCTCACTTTGTTGCCCAGGCTAGAGTGAGTGCCGTGGCATCAGCCTAGCTCACAGCAACCTCCAACTCCTGGGCTCAAGCGATCCTCCTGCCTCAGCCTCCCAAGTAGCTGGGACTACAGGCATGCACCACCATGCTCAGCAAATTTTTTTTCTCTCTCTCTCTCTCTATATATATATATATCAGTTGGCCAATGAATTTCTTTCTATTTATAGTAGAGACGGGGTCACGCTCTTGCCCAGGCTGTTTTCGAACTCCTGACCTCGAGCAATCCGCCTGCCTCGGCCTCCCAGAGTGCTATCATTTTTTCTTTTTTGGAATAAAAAGAAAACGGAATCATTTATTACATTCTAGATTACATTACATCAGAACTCCCCTATATTAGCTTTGACCAAGTTAAAACACTTACATATAGAGCTTGTCATGTTTTATTTTGTACTGATGGGAGCATGAAGAATTATTTCACCTTTTTTGGCCATTTCTTTTTTTTTATTTTTTTTATTTTTTATTTTTTTTTTGTATATATATATTAGTTGGCCAATTAATTTCTTTCTATTTATAGTAGAGACGGGGTCTCACTCTTGCTCAGGCTTGGCCATTTCTTGATGAGCTGTGTGGACCTTATCAAATATATTCATCTTGGCTAAATCTGGTGGGAGATATGGTCCAAGGTCAGACTTAGCAGTTCCTAAGGAGAGGATAGCTTTATGTATGAGCCTTTATTTTTCTCTGGGAGTTGTTACTCTCAAGAATATACTACATTTTGGAGCTACTTAAAGCTACATATGTTTATATGGTAGAGTTGGTGGTAATCCTGTGTTTTGACTATGTGGAAGCAATGAGACTTTTGGACTTGAGTGTAAAATGTCTTCTAGTCCTATATTAATAGGGTTATTAAAAGGGATTTAATTAGATTCATTGGTCTTAGGATTTATAGTGTTGTGATTTTTGAATCATTCTCTGTGTGTATATATTTATATGTTTGGATCTGTATCATTTGGGGCATCAGTTTTATATAATCCAACATCTCTTTTTGTTTTTGCTTTTGGTAATGGAGGAGTTAGGCCAAGAAGAGTTTTTCACAGAATCACAGGCTGATACGATAATGTTCAATTTAAAAGACTGTCTTTTTTTTAATAGCCACTTATCTATACATACTTATTAAATATAATTTTTAAACTTCATGTTTTAAGAAATATCAAAACTTGTGAACATCCAACCGGGGTAAAATGGTAAAGATTGGTAACAGTGTTAAGGATAGTGAACAATTGCAATGCTCATACCCTGCTGGCAGGAGTGTAAACTGGCAGTATTTACTAAAGCTAAACATACCCTGTGACCCAGCAACTGCACTCCTGGATATATATATAGCCAACAGAAAAGAGTAGAATATTCTTAACAGCATCATTCTTAATAGTCCCAATTTGGAAATAATTCAAATGTCCATTAATAACAGAATGGATGGAAAAATTCTGGTATATTTATGCAAATATGACAGAGCAATGAAAATGAATTTCTGCTACACAGAGCAACAAAGATACACTACTTTAAGTAGTTCAAAAACAGGCTAAACTAATCTTTGGTGATAGAAGTGAGAATAGTGGTAGCCTTTGGGGGTGCTAAGGGTGGTGGGTACTGACTGGGAACAGGCACCTATAGAAGGCCTTTGGAGCAATGGAAACGTTCTCTAACTTGATCTGCCCAGTAAACAGGTGAACACTATGTAAAAGTTTTTCCAGCTGTATACTTAAAAATCTGTGTACCTATATTGCAACAAAGAAAAATAACTTGTAAACAACTAAGGTCTTGGGACTGTGGCCAACAGACTGGAAGTACAGCCATGAGACAAAAAGTAACCTGATAAAAGTACCTTTGTCCCTTTCCTGTAACATGGAAAAGAACACCTAAAAAAAAAAAAAAAAAAAAAAAAAAACTTTTTTTTTTTTCTGAGTAGTAGTTAACCACAAAGAAATACACTTTTTTTAAATGTAAAAAGGTATTTCTTTTATTATAATGGTTTCAACTTTGGCTTAAGGTTCATAATACTGTTTCTAGATAATTTTCCATTGTTATATAACTAGGCAACTTTGTTATGTTAAAGATACCAGTTAGCACTGAGTTTTAACCACTCGTTTTGCTAAATTTTGAGTAAACAGCTAAACTCAATATAAAATCTGGCCTACGGAATTATACTGGCTATTTTTTGCTAGTAATATTCCAAAAGAAATATACTTATTTTTACTATATTCTTTATCTAACCTAAAATCTGCTGTCACTGTTTAGTAAAGGTAGAACAGAGAAGTAAAATTCTTTAAAATATAGAAAATGTATTGTCTATTAAGATTTTACAAAAAAAATAAAAAAAAAACACCAGAAAAACAAAAAGAGTACCCTAAAACAGCTCATATACTTTGTACTCTAGTGTGTATGTCTAACACTGTGAAGATTCAGTTCAGGGAATGAGTTTTAATATTATTAATAAATAAATAAATACTCAATTTAACTAAATACTTGACAGGATTCCTCATGAATATTTTTAGGAAAGCATACAAATAAAAAGATTAACAGATTTAAAAATCTTAAAAAGAAAGAACAAAAGTACCTAAAATTATGCATATATGCAGGCAGAATAAACTCTGGCCTGCAGTATAGGTAAGGCAAGAGTGAATGTATGTAACACCTTGAGACATAAAATATTGTTAATTACAATCTTATATATGTATATATAAAATAAAACATTTTGTATTGGTTGTATGAACTAGATTATAACATACAAATGTTAGCATTAACCCAAAACTTCCTGAATGGCTGACATAGCACATTAGTGAGGTAATACAGGTAGGGTGTGAGACCATTCATTTTGCAAAGATATTTTCAGCTTTTGACTTTGATGCTATCACTTTCAAGGCACAAGTCCAGGTGCTCATTAATTTGAGATTCCAAAACTTCATTCTGACAAACCGGGCAGTTAACCATTTTGCTCTGATTGCATGAACTACTGGAATTCTGAGTTGTGGTTATAGGACGTGAAGTACACTTTGGATCATTACCATCACTTTGTATTTGTTCTTTCTTGATAAAAAAATTGTCAAAAACAGTCTTGTCTTCTAGCCTGGGTCGTTTATTTGGGAATTTATCTTCAGACCCACTCACCTCCTGGGTTACATTCACAGATGTTGATTCCATTGCTTTTAAAGAATTTCTTAGGGATATCTTAGAAGATGTGACCCTTCTTTGAGAACTAGAAGAAACTAAATTTTTAGTGATGTCAGCGACTGTTAAGCTTGTCGTTGGAGAAGATCCATTCACACTTCTGAAAGCCTTTTGGTTGGCAGCTGATACTCTAGGCAAATAGTTGCTTACAACATTTTGGTGACTGGTATTAAGAACAGGGGAGAGTAGATGAGAGGTTTTTTTACTTGAACCATTCTTTTCAAATTTCACCTCAGTTTTAACATTAGGTCTTAGAGTGTTTGCTGAATGGTCTTGACTTAAAAGATCTTGGGCTTTATCAATGGCCTGTGAGCTGATCAATTTCGCAGATGACGGTAAATTATTTGTTTCTGCTAGAATGTATCCTTTCCCACTAAAAGGGATTAACAGCTGTGCCTCACCTCTATTGGGTTTATCTTTATTCTCTACTGCTGACACTGGGGGCTTTCCTGGTTTTGTCTTTCCTTTGCCTTTTTTTGAGTAGTTCTCTGGTTCCTTGATTTTTATGTAAGTGCCTCCACAGGTTTTCTGGTGCTCAGCCCACCAGCAGTCATTAGCAGAGGGTGCCCTGTTAATAGCACGTTTGATGTAGCCATAATACGGTTGTTTGTACTGACACTGCCCATTGCAGCGCCACCAATGTCGCCGATACTCCTCCACCTCGTCATGAAAAGTATGGTATACCGTAATATTGGCTCCAGTCAGGCGGTTGATGCGATGCATATGTTTACAAAACTCTGGACCATGCCCTTCCCGGTCTTTATCATTATTAGTGACAAATAAATAGGCATGTATCATTTCATGCAAGAGGGTCTCTACAAGATCCTTTCTTGGTCTCAACTTTAAAAGGGGTTCACTGAGACGGATGGAACACATTCCACCTTTCCCTTCATAGCTGCATATCCCAGCACACATGGTCATTCGCATGCTCCACTTCACTTCAACGGCCTCCAGCTGGCCCCAGAAGAACCGGTCGTTAAACTGCACAAACAGGCCCTGCAGATCCGGGGTGGGGTCCACCAACTCCCAGGACGCGTCCACCAGCGACAGGGGCTCCTGGGCTGGATCGCGCTCTGCGTCCTGCAAGTTCCATTCCTCCTGAAGCCGCAGTGCCAGAATCAGGTCCTCATCCATCACTGCCAGGATCCCAGGCGGGGTCTGCTGGCGTTAGGCTGGCTCGGGTGAGGCTGTGAACCCACGCAGTGAAGGCGGAAGGCGCGAAGGGCCGGGTCGAACTCCTAGGAGATACCGGCTTCCGGGCTGCTCTCGGGTTGGCCCGCCAATCTCGCGAGAGCTCAGGGAAAACTGGTTTGAGCATGACAACGAGAAGTGAGGTTACCCTAAACGCTGAAGCCAAGATTCTGGGACTTAAGAAAAGCAAGTGTTAACAATATTTGTACCCCCCATAATATGATAAAATAAAAAAAAAAAACTAAAAGCAAGTGTTGATGACACCTCATGGCGGTCGGAGAACCAGGGTTCCTGAGATCGGGCCGAGTAAGCTAGTTATAGCAATAGTTATAGTTAAAGCTAGTTATAGTTAGTTATAGTTATAGCTAGTTATAGCTTCCCGGAAGCTAGTTATAGCCGGTAACTTCAAACCCCCGGCTATAGCTAGTTATAGTTATAGCTAGTTATAGCTTCCAGGAAGCTAGTTATAGCCTTTACCCCTTTCTGGTAACTTCAAATCCCCGGCTACTTCAAGCCCCTGCGCAGTACCTTAAAAGACTGTCTTTTGATTTTAAGTTTTTTTTGCATCTCTCAAACCCAGGCCTTTATTCAGAATCTGGAAAAAAAATGAGGAAGAAATTTAAATTATGTGATTTTTAAGAATTCCATCAAGATTGTATTCTAAATCTTGCTCTAGGCAGGGCATGCTGGCTCACTCCTCTAATCATAGCACTCTGGTAGGCCGAGGCAGGAGGATTGCTTGAGTTCGGGAGTTCGAGGCCAGCCTGAGCAAAAGCGAGACCCTGTCTCTACTAAAAAAAATAGAAAAAATTAGCCAGGCATGGTGGTGCACACCTGTAGTCCTAGCTATTTGAGAGGCTGAGGCAGGAGGATTGCTTGAGCCCAGGAGTTTGAGGTTTCCTGAGCTAGGCTGATGCCACAGCACTCTAATCTGGGCAACAGAGCCAGACTCTGCGTCAAAAAACAAAAAAAGAAAATCTTGCTCCAAAGTAGAACAAAACTTTGCTTACAATTTTCCCCATTGTTTGTGTCTGTCTTTTTGTTTTCTTTTCCTCCCTCTGTTCCTTATGTGTGTAGCAGACTTTAAGTGTTAGATTAATGAAGAAGTGTATCTCACCATAGAAAACAACTTAAAATTGAATCCTAGACATCCCAGTTGACAGAAGTTCTTTGGCCATTCCGATTGCCAGGGTTTTTTTTACTAGCAGTCATTTTCACTCAAGGTCCAGCCTCATGCACGGTATACACATTTCTTGACAGTTCTTGACATGCATGTACTATAACACAGGGCATCAACACTATAACACATTCAGAGTGGGGGACTTATTTATGTTTCCCTCTCTGGGAGTACGTGCACATGTTAACATTTTCTGGTGGGTTGGAAATCCTTTATTTATTATTATTTTTTTTTTAAGGAACCAAGTTTTCTGCTAGGAAATCCTTTAATAAAAAGAAGCATAGTTAGTAGAGGACTTGAAAGTTAATAATACCTCTCCCCAGACCCTCAACCAATTCTGACCATGTTGTTTGATAGAAGGATGGTTTAAGTTATTATAATTCCATGGTCTGTTAGGTTCTTTTTGAGTGATATTTCCATATTATTGTCAACATGGTTAAAAGGTATAATTATTTAGGTTGAAGGGAAGTATAAGTGGCTGCCAAATTTGGCAATACTGGAGAAATAGCTACGTTTGTCTTTTGTATTGTAGATCATGTAGAAAGGACAATTTTAGGTACTGTGTGTGCTAACGTCTTCCTGGACATCATAAGGAATCCAACTAAAACAAAGTTTAAAACTTTTTCAGATGTGCAAGTCTATTGAAGCCAATATTTTATTTTAGAGATATGTGTTGTGTTTGACAAGTAACTCTTTGTACTGCAGTTCTGTGGCTTTCAATTAAAAAAACATGAAAATAAACTATTGTGATGTCATTTTTCTGCTTAATTGTATGCTTATTTATAAATTAGGCAGATTAATAATACAAAGGAGGTGAGTGTAGATGTGTAGTGCTTGTTTATTAAAATATTTAATAAATTAAAGAAAAATGATTCCATACTTAACAGAATATTTTGTGCCAGATCAACAAATGCTCTAATGAACAAATATCAACGTTTGTTCTATTTTTTTCTGACATTTCCAGAAAAGCTTAGGCACTTTATGAAGATTATGAAAAAGCTTAGTTCCTAGTACATATGCTGTTATTTGAGTTTTTTTTTTTTTAAATAAAGTATGTTATCTTTTGTGTAATTGAACAGTTAAAAAAATGAACTGTCACAGATACTAAAACTTGGTATTCAACATACTATATTTGACTCCAAGTGTTCACAGAGTGTGATGCAAACAAATGTTCTCTCAACTTACATCCAGGATAGCTAAAATATTACTTTAACACATGTTAAAAGTAGAGCACTGCAACTATTTGGCTAGATATAATTCCAGGCTGTCTAAGTTGAGTAATTTCCTCAGGCATTCCAACTTTGATCAACCACAGCAAGAACTTTTAGCATGTCTGTAAAGCAGCCAGTGCATCTGTAAATATGTCCTGAGGTAGAGAGAAAAGAGAGAATGCCAAAAAAGAGTACTTTGTCATTAAGGAGCAGTTACAGAATGAAAATGGAAAGTTTTTTGTTTCCTTAGGAACGCTTTTTAGATAATTGAGCCTCTGATTTCTAAGTATGCCCTGTGGTTCTGTATTAATGAATGAAAGGCCTAATAATGTTTTCTGGCTAACTATGCTGAAACTTATTGGTTAGAGTCCATTAATTCTTGACTTTCTACTCCTTATAAAAAATATTAATTGGCTAAAACCCCAACATTATCAATAGTATGTATTTCAGTAAAGCATGGCTAGTTTGTAATTGGCCAATATTTGGGTGAAAATGTTCTTCCATGACTGTTTTTGAGAATAACTAAGAGCAGATATAATCTCATATGCTTTTTTTTCAACACATGGATGAAAACACATTTTCTGTTTTTTATTTTCAGTGAATTGAAAATGAATTTGTGAATATCTACTAGTTTGATACGTAAGCATTAACTTAAGAATATTTGTAATGGTAAATCTCCCTCTGCTATATGAGAAACTGCATTTTTTCTGTATTTTTTACATAACAAGTTCATATCACAGGAATATAACTTCCTTAGAAATATTTTAAGGTACAATTAGCAACTACTTGCGAATTGGATATTAAATTGGATGATCCATCTAGCTTCTTTCTGACCTTGCTTTCTGTAGCCCCATGATAACAGATACTATGACCTCCAATTTAGTTGTGAAAATTCTTTTTAGTTCAGTCTTGTATCAAAACTGTGAAGGAATCCATAATTCTCTTAATGACTTCCATGTTGCAGATCTCTTATTATTCATATTCTCCAATTATTTAGTAATGGAAAAGAAGGTTAATACAGTTCAATAAAATTTCTCACCAATAAAAGTTTTGCTCCTACAGATACTTGGTGAAAAAGAGAAGAAGAAGAAAAAAAGTTTTGCCATAGTTTCACCTTCTTTTCATTGAAAACTTTTTCAGTACTGAGCAAAGGCAGTATAGTTGATAGATTTACATCCTTCAAGCCCCTCCCCTATATCCTAAAAGAGGTACAGAGAAATGGTGAATGGGCAAATTGGGGGAGAAGATGGAGGGGCAAGTGTGCATCCAATAATTGATGTTCATGGGCAGGCTCCTTGAGCAGATATTTGAGTTGGTGACCTTGTTACTGTTTCTATGTTTACCAGAGAATTTTTCTTCCTGTAAATCTTGTTTATCTGAATGCCATAATTTCTTCAAAATTTAATACTTATTTTATTTCATGTGCCTACTGCTTTGATCTTGAAGTCAATAAAGTTCACACTGAGAACCATAAGAGCCAACTTTTGCCTATATGGGGGCTGGTTATCTAAATTATAGATAGATTCCTATTATTCTATAATTATTTTACCTGATTATTTCTTTGAGGTTTTTTTTGTGTTACATGAACATTGATGTCCCCTCCTCCTGTGTATGTTTTGTGGTTTTGTTTTTTTGCCACAAAGTACTAGTTCCGATAGGAATAACGTGTTTTCTCTTATCATCTTGATGAAGGTAGTTCACCACTGGATAAAGTTATAAATGAAGTCATCTATACTAATAGTATTTGAGAAAAATACCATGATATTTTATTAGTCTCCTTCTTGTGGATTCTTTGTAGAAAGCTCATCTGACTTATTTTGGAGAAGTAAAACAGTATTACAAGTTTTTTTGTTGTTGTTGTTATAATCAGAAGATATGTGGCTTTTTTGACCACTTACCTGGCTCTTCTTAGTAAAGGTGGATTGACATGTTGTAGATAGATAACATAGGTTAAATGGCTTACTTCTGTACTTCTTATCTTATTTCTTATTTAAGAAGCATTAGGTAAGAATATTCAGTATTTTAAATATTTAAGTAAGCATGATAGTTAAATCGATTTGTTGTTAGGACTGGCATTGGTGTCAAAGAACTACTTTGCCCAAAATTTGTATGGAAAACTGAAGCCTTATCAAAGCTCAGACTTTGCATCTGGAGAAGCTTGAGACCTTCTTAACCTTTACAAAGTGATGGAGACTGGAGATTGCAAAAGAAACATTTCACAGATGCGTGTCTGTTGGCACATGGACTAATTTTTAAACATTGGCATTCTCTCAGGGCTGGAGTTTTCCATGGCTGAGTGACAGCTGCCGCTTTTGAGTATAGGAGCTTTTGTGTGACTAAGACTATATTTCATTTTAAGGTACAATTGAAAATAAGTCTTGGACAAAGATGCTAACTTTTGTCTTGTCTCAAGGGCCAAGGAAATGAGCTGATGCTTTAATTGACATTAGTTTAATACTCTAGAGGTTACAAATTATTGTAAGATTTCTATCAAAAGTAGGAATAAAACTGGAATGAGCTTTGATCTAGCTTTTTAAAGTTGGAATTGGAGTTAGGTATTAGCTTATTATTTTGAAAATGAACTTCAAATCAAACTAAAGACTTTTCAAAAAAATTTCTCATTGAAGCAATTTGAACTATTACCAAAGTATATCACTCCAAAGAGTTTAGAGCTGAA